AGTGATACAGTCGTGAGGTGGGCGGAAAGGGGAAGTATTCTACAGGCCTACGATTAGGTCTCATTCTTTTGGTGAGCCTGTGTCCCTGGGCTGTGAATTTCACCCGGGCTTCTAGGATTTTTATTATTTCTTTCTTAGGTGGGACAGAATGGCTAGAGAAGGCTGGAATTGAGTATTTCCCTTCTCTTGGGCTAGTTAGGCAATGAAAACAGCCCAGTGGTTTAGACTTTGGTAAACTAATTTCTCTTGAGGGCAGACCTTGTTGAAAAGAATAGACTGTTCTATCATATTTCAGAACAGTTACTTCTCCCCCAACCTACCCACCACCACCACTCCCCACCCCCCACCTGCTGGAAGCAGGAGAGGATTTTTCTCTGAAATCCACTGTGAGAACCTGGTAGAGCTCTTGAAAGTAAAAGTGCCTCCCTCCATACCCCCACCCCCATGACTGCATCCTCTTGGAGATTTTTGTTTTCTTGAGACTGAATCTCGCTCTGTTCTCCCGGGTAGAACTGTAGTGGCATCATCATAGCTCACTGCCATCCTCCTGCCTCAGCCTCCCAGAGTGCTAGGATTACAGGCACGAGCCACCATGCCCCAGTCCCCTCTGGAGTATTTAACTTCCAGACTTGTCCACACTGAGCCCCCAGCAGTTCCTCGATTACAGTGTAGGTTGTCCCACCCCAGTACTGGTCTCTGCTGCAGTGAGTTGTAATTCTCTGTACCTGCCTGTCTCCAGTTTTGGGGGCAGCACCTCTTTGCTCTGTGACATCACTTCTCTGACAGATCTAAGGAGAGTTGTTGATTGTTTAGTTTGTCGGCTTTTTGCTTTTTGTTAGGGCAGACTTCTAAGCTCCTTATGTGCTGGACGGGAAACCAGAAGTCAATAATAAATATTAAGGTTTTACTTTTTACCAAGAAAAATTGTTTAAGAGACCAATATTTATAAATATCTTGGGGATGTTTTTTTTTAACAATAGAATATTTAAAATCCTACTGTAAAATTATGAAGTATAGGATAATTATAAAATATTGCTCAGGAAATCAAAAACAACTTTATAAAATGGAAAGATGTTCCTATAAATAAATATTATTAAACCCTTGGATTTTCCAGAATTAATTTGATTAGTAATGTGGTAAGTAGATATAATTGTAGTAAATTTTTCAAAGGGTGATAAAAGATTTCTAGAGTTAATGTGGAAGAATTATTGGAGCTTTGAATTACTATCTCTTAAAATATATTATAGAGCCATGGAATGGAATTAAAATTTAAGTACTATTTCAAAAATATAGATCAGTAAGGGAAAAAAAGACATTCCACCTTGATGAAAATTCAAGTATATGAGACGTTTCATCTGGTAAATATGATATTTCCAATGCATAGGGACAATCTCTTCATGAATAATTCTGGGACATTTGGTTAGTTCTTCAAAAAAGTTTTTTCTGAGTTAGTATCTGAGATGAGTACCAAAATAAATTCCAAATTTATTAAACATTTCAAAGTTATATTCTTTATTGAACATATATATGGGTATTTATATTGTTGGTTGGTGAGCTCTAAGCATATTATCTACAGGAGAAAACCATAAAGGGAAAAATTTAATAAATACTACTACATGGAAAAACTATAAAAAAAGTACAGTGACTCCTCCCCCCAAAGATGTTGTAGTGCTCCAAATGACAAATTGGGGGAGAGTGTTCACAATGTTTGATAAAGCCAATGGTCTCATCAGTCTAACTCCTAAAAGTCTTATGAATAAGAAGTAAGCCAGGCACAGTGGCTCACGCCTATAATCCCAGCATTTGGGGAGGCTGAGGCAGGTGGATTGCTTAAGGCCAAGAGTTCAAGACTAGCCTGGACAGCATAATGAGACCCATCTCTACAAAAAAAAAGAAATAACCAAGCCTGGTGGTACATACCAGCTACTCAGGAGGCTGAGGCAGGAGGTTTGCTTGAGCCCAGGAGTTTGAGGTTGTAGTGAGCTATGATGACGACACTGCACTCTAGCCCAGGCAATAGAGCAAGACTCTGTCTTAAAAAAAATGTAGATGAGAACTCTCATAGGAAAATGGATACTCAGTGTTGACAAGGAATTGGCAATGGACAATAAATATAATTGACAGACCCCTTGTGTCCCAATTCATTATCTTTTTAATATTTTAACTTTTAACTGTAGCAAATTATATAATCAGAATTCATTTAAATACAGAATTTATCATCAGTAGGATGACTAAACTGGACCAAATAATCCAGAGATGGTTGCAAACCTATATAAACAGTTGTTTATTCAGCTGTTACTATAATATGAAAAATTAGAACCACAATATCCAACAGTAGAAACACAGTTCATCCATATAATAAAATGTCATGTGACCATTAGACAGCATGTTCATCTGGGGGTAAATGAGCCACAGAGAAATCTGGTCCCATTTTCTTTCTTTTTTTTTTTTTTTGTAAATCAATTATGCAAAAACAGATGACTAATTAGAACACACAATGAGCAAGCCTCAGTGTTTATAGTGGTTATCTCTGTGGTGGGCTTACAGGTGAATTTGGTTATTGTATTTTCCTGAGTGTGGATTAGTTACAAAATCAGAAAACATGATTTTTTAAAATATAATACATTAAACTCTGGTGGTTATTAATGAAAGGTTTTTTTCTCTTTATAAAGCAAATTTCATAATGATTTAGATAAATGGAAATTTGATTTATAGTTTCCACTTTTCTTACTTGCAGAGTGGTTTAATTGGAATCCATACTGTTAGCTTAATAGCAAACTAGTCCAATCATAATTTTTAAAATCCTGTCTTCTTCCTGAGTTCACATGCAAATTTTTATGAGATCATCTGCTGGAGAAGCTCAAGTGCTAAGATGTTGAAGGTATATTTGAGGCAACATTTAGTGCTTCAGGGGCTCCCTTCCTTTCCTGTCTGCTGAGCCATTTTTATCACTCAACTGTTATTTTCTAACTTGAAATATCTACCGCTGGGTGTGGTGGTTCACGCCTGTAATCCCAGCACTCTGGGAGGCCAGAGTGGGAGGATGGCTTGAGGCCAGGAGTTCAAGACTAGCCTGAGCAACATAGCAAGACCCTGTCTCTACAAAAAAAATTTTAAAAATTAGCTGGACGTCGTGGCACATGCCTGCAATCCCAGCTACTCGGGAGACGGAGGTGGGAGGCTCAATTGAGCCCAAGAGTTTGAGGTTACAGTGAGCTATGATCAGGCCTCTGCATTCCACTGCATTCCAGCCTGGGTGACAGAATGAGACCCTGTCTCTAAAAAAAAAAAAAAAGGGAAGAAAAGAAAAGAAAATATATCTCCCTCCTAACTGCCACTGCCAGGCTGGCGATGGACATCTCCTGAGCACAGCTACTACAGGGATGGCAGACGGGGTAGATTCCCAACAAAGCCTCTTTATCTTGAAGCTTTGATAGACTTGGCATTCATTTAAGGGATTTTATTATTCTTTGGGAAATTTACCATCTCTGAGCCTTGCTTTCCATATCTGTTTGTTCAGCAAATAGTCATGGAGCCTCGACTGTGCTAAGCATGCTGAGACAGTGGTCAACAGCCAGATGACACACGTGAACTCTGTTACCTGTTGATCTGAAATTAGAAATTCAGTACTTACATAAAAGAGTTAGAGGTGAATTCCATGTAACAGTGTACCTGGCATCTGGATTATTCTCAATGAATGTTAATTCATTTTCTTCTTTCTTCATTCTCTGAAACTAGACCAAGCACAGCATTGTCTAATTTATGCTCAGAGCTCTCTGGAGAACAGATTTCTTCTTTTAACTCTGTTACTTGGTTCTGTTGCCTTATGTACAGAAACTCTTGAATTATGATCCCAGAAATTGCTTGCATGTCACAGCTACTGGAAAAGAAACATTGTCCCTGCACATCCCAGTGTTCTTAGTAAGAATTGGCTTCACTGGCAGCTGGAAAGATAGGATAATGGGGTTGGTTGGGCTTGCTTGAGGTGTCATGACATACGCTCTTCCTGAAGCATGTAGGTGCCTGCTGTCATTCACTTGTCGTGTAGGTCAGCTTTCTTGAGGTGTTTTCGTGTTTTCTCGCCTCAACCTGAACGCATAGGTTCTTTCTTCAACTGAGCGTCTTGTCTTAGGACCTGCAGCCTAGAGCCACTGAACAAGGAATAGCCTTAGAGATCATATGACCTGCACAGACCTGTTCAGAGAAATGACATGCTCAAAACCATGGTTAGTGTTGTGCAAAAATACAATTAGGGACAGAGTCTACATTATGCTCAAAATGTACTTTTATTGTACCATGCTGTGGGTGTTGCTGTGGCATTGAAAACTGTTCTCCTCAAAGGACGAAACATTCCAGATTCCAGGCAGCATTAGGTTGTTGCCACCCAATCCCGTGGAGCACTGAATGATGAAGGATTGTTAACACCATTAGATTTGTGTGCGATATTGGATGAGTCCAGATTTTGCCAAGCTTTGAGTCAGCAATCCTTTCCCTGTGCACCTGTCTTATCCAGGCTCCCTCCAAATTGGTACGTTTCCATCTCCTTCCCATATGCTTATGATTAACCAATCAGTAATGAGAACGAAAGAAAGCAGCAGAACAGCAAAATGATCAAAGAGAAGGAATGGGAATGAAAAGAGCAACAGCACAGTGTGTACTTGGAGCCTGCTTCAGAATGGGGGCACCAGCTGTAGAGATGCGTGGAATTTGCACATCACTCCCCTGCACCAGCTTTGACTTTAACTCTAGACGTGGCCCATGTGTTCAAATCCCTGGAGAAACGAATAGCATAGGTATTCTTTACAAACTTACGTGTGCGCCAGAGCTGTAGTTGGGTAACAGGGAAATGCCCATGGGAAAAGTTCGTAATGTATCAAGTATTATTAAAAATGAGCTTAAATGGTATATAAGGCTCTTTCTCCTGTATTGTCTTGACTCTTGCATGAGCCACTCTCCATTGGTTTCTGCTTTACCTTGGTTGTATATTTTACCTTGCACAGGACCAGCTGTCAGCTGACATGTACAGTTTCGTGGCCAAAGAAATTGACTATGCAAACTACTTTCAAACGGTAAGTGTCCAGAAAGGTGAGACTGCTCAGAGTCTGTTCGCAAGAGTCGTGATGAGGACAGGAAGGGTAGGGTGCATGGAACTGAGTGAGGGCCCCTTGGTTGAGCATGTGGTGGAAGAGGGTGGGGCTTTGACTGTTCTGCCTGAGAGTAAATCCTGCCTTCTATTATCCCTTGTATGGGTTTCTGCAAAAACCTGGTAATATAACCCAACTCCAACCCTGAGGATGATTGCAACTCAGTCCAGTGGTTCTAAACCAGGAGTGATTTGCCCCTTCCTCCAGTGAACATCTGGCAGTATACGGAGACATTTTGGTTGTCACAGCTGGGAAGGGAGGTGCTACTGGCCTTTAGAGGGACACCAGAGATGCTTCTAAATATCCCACAGTGCACAATGAATCATCCAATCCAAAATGTCAGCAGGTCTGACTTCAAAAAACCGTGGTTTGGGCCCGGTGCGGTGGCTCACGCCTGTAATCCTAGCACTCTGGGAGGCCAAGGCAGGCGGATTGCTCGAGGTCAGGAGTTCAAAACCAGCCTGAAAGACCCCGTCTCAACTATAAATAGAAAGAAATTAATTGGCCAACTAATATATATAGAAAAAATTAGCCGGGCATGGTGGCGCATGCCTGTAGTCCCAGCTACTCGGGAAGCTGAGGCAGCAGGATTGCTTGAGCCCAGGAGTTTGAGGTTGCTGTGAGCTAGGCTGATGCCATGGCACTCACTGTAGCCTGGGCAACAAAGCAACACTCTGTCTCAAAAAAAAAAAAAAAAAATCGTGGTCTGTGATAACAAGGGACTTGAGAAAAATAGAAAGATAAACCTTCCCCCCCCACCAGCATGTATTTTTTTTAAAATCTAGATTTTTATCAAAGATAATGGCAAGTAGGTAAACCGTGATCAATGTGGCCTATTTGCCAGCCCCTCCATCAACCAAAGCAGAGTGAGAGAGTAAGAAACAGGAGGAAAGAAGATCTGAGTGGTATGAACTTGAATAATCTGGTGCAAATAATTAGGACCCTGGCCATTTACCAGGGTAGGTGCAAGGCAAGTAAAAGAGAAAGAAAGAAAAAGAGAGAGAGAGAGAGAGAGAGACAAGAAAAGAAGAAAAGAAAAGAAAAACTTTGAGAGAACCAAAGTACAAATTAAAAAAACAGTGATGCCAACCTGCTTTTAAAGTTGGGAATAAAAGGCTAAAGCCTAAAAGCTCTTCATTTATAATCAGGGAAAGGCAGCAACGATAAGGAAGGAAGGAAGGGAGGAAAAACACAGGGGAAATCCTGGAAGGTTAAAATGCTTCGACAAGTACGGTGGAACAGCGGGGAGCTATTAGCAATTTTCCAACACTTTCGTTAGTGGTCCAGCCTGCAGAGAAGTCCCTCCTACCCTAAAAAGGAGTTGATTTCCATTGCTTCCAACTGAGAACATTTGTTTTAAAGTAGTAGTATTGTTCAAGTATATTCCAATGGCTTTGTTTGTGAAGGTAATGTTTAATTTTAGAGTCTCTAAAACTAATGTACTCATTGCCATTCGAAGCTTTACTAGCCCTCCTAATTGTCATTTGTGTACCATTTATTGCAATGTTCTGATTTTCTAAAAAGAAAAATCCATATTAGTTTTGCTTTAGTTTTACTCGGGGATCACAGTGTCTGCAAACGGGGATTCCCTCCCCAACCCTCCCACATGCCTGATGGGTGGGAGTCAGAAAATAAATAAAGTAACTATTGTTCATGGGTTTTCACCTGCTCTTGTCAACATTTTGGTCACTCTTAATTAATGGGATGGTCAAAATAGAACGCTTTGAGAGAATTTGCTCATTGGACCGCATTTCTGTAGTCAAAGTAGTTTTACCTCCCAAGGTATGTGAAGAGGATTGTGGATCAGGCCACGAGTTTTCTGATCAGCTATATACTAAAGTAACTTTGCGGAAACCAAGATTATGTACAGGGTAATGGCACTGATGTATATATTCACAGGCAAATGAATTCTATGTGTACTTTACATTTATATCCTGCTGTGGTTGCACCTCTCGTTGTTGCCTCTCGTGCTGAGGCTGGGGTGCCGGTGAGGTAGGGTGCTCAACAAGGCAGGCTCTGGGGAGACCCCCTTCCTTCTTGATTCTCCTGCTTCTCAAACTCCCATTTGTAGTGACTTCTGTGTTACGGGGCTAGAGCGGAAGCATGCCCATCATTTTAGGAAGACTGGAGGAGGGAGCCAGGCATGCCCCCCCCCCAAGCACCTTCTGCAGAACACCTGGGCAGAATACTCGGCATACCGTGCTCCCTGCCCTTTGGCAAAGGGTAATGCTTGCCCTTGTGTTTTCTCAGCTGATAGAAGTGCAGGCGGAATACCACAGGAAGTCGCTGACACTCTTGCAGGCTGTGTTGCCTCAGATCAAAGCACAACAGGGTAAGTGCAAGCCCTCCGTGGACAGGGCAGGGCTGGGAGCCTGCTTGCCTTCCCGGGTGAGATCAGCTCCCCGTGTATTGTTCACGCTTTTGCTTTGCCCAGTGGGGTCCCCTTTAGATGAGCCACTAAGACTTCCCAGGCTGGTGCCTTGATCTAGGTACAGTGAGGCAGAGCATACTCACTCATGGCTGCCCCTCCGCGGGGTGAGTAAGGGGTGTGTGCAGGTATATGACAGTGCTGGGCACAGCCGTCTGGTCGTCCACCCCCTCCCATCCCCCATTATCCCCCAAACCACAGAATGAGGGCTCCCCCGGGCGTCTGTTTCTTTGGGGGTCTTAGGAGAATCTGGATGACAAAAGAAAGGAAGATTCCAGCATGCCCGACTTTCTCAAACTGCTGACCGACCCCTTTCTCGCTCCCCCCCTCCAGAGGCCTGGGTGGAGAAGCCGTCCTTCGGGAAGCCCCTGGAGGAGCACCTCACCATCAGCGGCCGGGAGATCGCCTTCCCCATCGAGGCCTGTGTGACGATGCTGCTCGAGTGTGGGATGCAGGAGGAGGTGGGTCTGGGCACGGCCACGCACACCCCGGGGCGGGTCTCCTCCTGCACGAAACGGGGCCTACAGGGTCGTCTTTCCTCCATGGTGCCTGCTCCGGCCCTCGCGAGTCCAGACGTGTTAAGACGATGGTACAGCCTCATGTACGAGTCCTGCCTTTAACCACGAGCCTTCGCTTCTGTAAGGACTGTGAGAGACTGATCTAGCCATTAGGAATTGATGGCCGTAGTGTCACCATTTTTTCCGCGTGGTTAACATGATTTGATGCTGTAGGCATTCTGCTGTTGCTGCTATTCCTTCTGCTTCCTCTTCCTCCTCCTCCTCCTTTTGTTTAATAAGTCACCTAGTCTTCAAAATAGAGCCCTTAACCTTTTTGATCATGACTTTTTTTATAGGGATACTGAAAATATGATTGATAGCTACATTAGGAAGTACTTTCTAGAGCATGTAAAAAAGCTCTATGAAAAATCGGGGGGGACTGTTGTGTTGGGTCATTAAATATGAAATGTCCGATTTCGAATCAGAAGTATAGTTTCTTGTATCTCAAATAAGAAGCAGTACAATTAATCAAAGTATGCACTTAAACTGTCGACAACGGTTTTGCCATCTTAACAGTAGCTTGTTTATGCCAGCAGCAAAGAAACCAGGAGAGTGAGGGAGTAGCAATAAAATAGGGAGAGGCATTTTCCACAGGTTGTTGAGAACTGACTATTTTTCCTTGCAAGAAGTGGTCCAAAGCCTGGAAGAAGTGGTAGTCAGTCGGCGCAAGCTCTGGTGAATACAGGGGATGACAGAGAGTTTCCAAGTCCAGCCTCTAGTTTGAGCAGCATTGTTTGTGGGACACGTGGTCGAGCATTGTCTTGCAAGAGGATTGGCCTGTCTCTATTGAGCAATCTCAGCTGCTTAATTGCAAACTTCCTCTTCATTCATCCAGCTGGTTGCAGTAGACATCCACTGTAATCACTGACCAGGTTTCATGACGCTGTACAGTATAATGCCAGCACTGGACCACCAAACACACACCATTAGCTTCTTTGGATGAACATTCAGTTTTGGACTGTGTTTTGGCACTCCATCTTTATCCAGCCATTGTGCTGAACAAATTGTGATTGTCAAAAAGAATCCATTTTTAGGCCGGGCGTGGTGGCTCACGCCTGTAATCCTAGCTCTCTGGGAGGCCGAGGCGGGCGGATTGCTCAAGGTCAGGAGTTCAAAACCAGCCTGAGCAAGAGCAAGACTCCGTCTCTACTATAAATAGAAAGAAATTAATTGGCCAACTGATATGTATATAAAAAATTAGCCGGGCATGGTGGCACATGCCTGTAGTCCCAGCTACTCGGGAGGCTGAGGCAGAAGGATCGCTCGAGCCCAGGAGTTTGAGGTTGCTGTGAGCTAGGCTAACGCCACGGCACTCACTCTAGCCTGGACAACAAAGTGAGACTCTGTCTCAAAAAAAAAAAAAAAGAATCCATTTTTCATCACGCATAACGATATAGTGTAGAAATCGTTCCCCTTTAGGTCGTAACAGCAAAGAAAGGCAAGCTTTGCGATGATTTCTCTTCTGATTCTCATTTAATTCATGTGATACCCATCTGTCCAGCTTCTTTTCCTTGCTGATCTGTTTCAAATGGTCCAGTATTGTTGGAGTAGTAACGTCGAACCTTGCTGCTAATTTCACACATGGGTTGAGATGGATTCACTTCCACTACAGCTTTTTCAGCTCATCATTATCCATCTTGGTCCCAGGTTGCCCACATGACTCATTTTCAAGATTAAAATCACCAGAATGGAATTTCTCAGACCATCACTGACCTGTGGTTAGCCACATCCTTCTCAAACACTTTGTTGATATTTCGAGCTGTCTGTGCTACATTGGTTCCACTATGGAACTCATATTCTAAAATAACATGAACTTTTGACTTATCCATGGTTTCACAAAAATTACTCTAAAAAAATTTTGAAGGATAATCACAAGCCAAACTGTGCATTGGAAAGAATGAGGGGATGTACCTTCACAGCAGAAATAAAGCGAGAGTGTCAAAGTGAAATGTAAGGGATATCAACTGTCAAACATAGTAATTAAGGGAATCGGACATTTCATACTTAATAACCTAATATTTATCGCTGTGTAAATCATTTCCTGGGAGATAGAGCTCATCTTTGGTTTCTTCCATAGGCTGTTTTGACATCTTTACTTCATCTTCCTTTGATCCGATCAGGCAGTCAATATTGATTTAGGGCATGCTTTGCGTTTATCACTGAGCAAAGTATGAAAGAGTGAGATGGAACTTGGAAACTTGCTGTGGGGGAGAGTCTAACATTTCTCAAGTGAGCCGAGTCAGCCCCAAGCAACGTGTGAGTCTCTAAACAAGCACTGGGCTGCACAGGGCCAACTGGAAGGGCCGTGGGAGAGAAGGAAGCCCGTGAACACGCAGATGCTGGCTGCTTCCCATATGCTAGGCCTGTCCTAGATTCTCGATATTCAGGAAGGAATGGGAATAAATGGGTTTTGTGCCAGGCATTTTCATGTTTGTTACCAATTTAAAGAGTGAGAAGATCTCTAAAGCCCTTGAGAGATAATTTCTTGGAGAGAGATGGATCAGCCTTTTCTTTCCCCGTTATCTTTTTTCATTATGGAAAAAACGTAAACACATACAGATAAAATAATGAGCCCCTTCACCCAGCTTATGGTCAATCTTGTTTCGTCTCTGCTTCCATCTCCTGCCGACAAATCCCTGCCTGGGATATTTGGAAGCAAATCCCAAACGTATATCATCTCACTAGTAATACTTTCATATGTAGCTCTAAAAGACAAGGAGTGTTTTCAAATATAATAGTATTATTATATCCAAAAACTAACTTATTAGTATCATCAAATATCTAATCTGCATAAACCAGCTCTTGAGGAACGAGATCTCGAACATCTCCCACCTCGTCTCCCGACTCTCCTTCCTGTCTCTGCCCGTTCCACCCCTGGCCAGACCTCACTCTCTCACTTGCATTTCCCCCCACTTTGTGTCTGCTCTTGCCCTTTACTCGCAAATAGGGTCAGATTTCCCTGAGGCTAGGAAAAAATATCTTCTTTCAACCCAGCCACCACCTCGTATTCCCTCCCCAGCGTGTTGGTTTTGTTTTCTATGCTACCCAATGGCTTAAAATAGCTTCCATCATCTGTCACTCGTGCGGCTTCACCCCCACTTACTGATCTTCCTGTGCTGTCACTTCTGCCCCACTACTGGGCTCTAAGACCACCCTCAGTGGTCCCTGGGCACCCCCAGATCGCCAAACCCAGTGACCTAGTGCCAGCCTCCCAGGCCACATCGCTGCCTGGTGTTGCTCATGGAGCGTCCTTGAGGCTAGTGGCTCCCTTGGCCCTCCCTGGTCCCCTTCTCGCCTCTGACCACAGGGGCCTCAGGGTCTTTGCACCACCCAACTCCACCCTCCAAGAGCCATGCCTCAGCCGCCATGGGGATTCTTCCAATGGAAGGGCTCCACTCTGTGTTCGCTGCCATTCTTCCATACTTCCATGCAAATTTTCCTCTAAAACTGGACTCGCTAGCTATCTCAACAATCTCCTCCTCCTCCTCCTCCTGGTTTTTATGCTTCTCTCAGTTACATAAGCAAAAATCTAAAGGCTGCTTACACTTGACAACTCTATTTCCCTCTCTGTGGCATTGGCCATCACCAAATCCTGTCCTTGCCTGGCAATGGCATAGTTCTGTGAAGATCTAGGCCACCACTCTGTTGCATTCTGTAACTTGCTATCTTTGCCATGGCAGCCTGACCCACATACCAGTCAGTCCAAACACGTTTATGTAGCTTCCTCATGTATATGCCAAGGAGCTTCGCACATCTATTTATCCAATATACCTTATTTTGAGAAGGGAGTTAGTGATCCTAGTGGACCATAGACTTAGTACCCCAGACCAGGAACATTTTCTTCTAAAGGAACTTGTGAGTCTGAATGGCTATAAAAGATTAAAGGAGCAAGATTCTGCCAGCTCGTTTCTCTGCCCGTGGATTGCAGCGTAGAATGCAAGGAGCTAAGAGTGAAACGGAAACCATTAGGTCTTTAACCCGTGTCTAACTTACCCGTGACGTGGAAGTTCCTTTCCAACTCTGACCTGTATCCGCCTTCTCTTCCACACAGCCCTCTCCTACTCTTGTCTTTCTTTGCATAGCTCATGTTAGCTCTGCAAGGTGCAGTGGTTCACTTGAAGGAGGTGGCAGGTATTAGAAAGTAACTCTTAAGAATGGAACATGGAGGGACCGAGGTTCATTTATTCAATAAATACTTACTGAACCAGTGTCTGTCCCCTCCCCCACTGCACCTGGCTCTGGCGACACTGCAGTGGGCAAAGCCCAGCTCTTGTGCTCAGGCTGCTTATATACAAAGAAGGAAACATTTAGAAAAGAGGTAGCTACGATACTGGAAAATGGTGCTGGGCAAACGCATCTAAGAGGTTTTGGAGGAGAGAAGCAGGTAGACTTGTGGTCTGTTGGTTTTGCTCTTGTGCCTCGGGGTTGTGGGGCTGCCTGCTGACCCTCTGTCCTGTTTGTAGGGACTCTTCCGAGTAGCTCCCTCTGCCTCCAAGCTGAAGAAGCTGAAAGCTGCCCTGGACTGCTGCGTGGTGGACGTGCAGGAGTACTCGGCAGACCCCCACGCGATCGCAGGTGGGCGTCCACGCCCTCTCGGCAGGGTGCTCGAGTGCACCGTGGGGACCCATAGGGACGTGGTGAGCATGGAGGCTGTGTGGCTGCAGTCTGGGACACTTGGGCCAGTGGCTTCCTGGTGTGCTTCAGGTGTGTCCACTCAGGGCCCAGTTCCAGACTGGACGCCACGGCCCCTTGAAGGATGGGCCCCCAGAGTGCCAAGAGCAGAGGAGGTGATGGTGGGAAATAAGAGGGTCCATGCGGTTGCCAGCCCAGGTCCCCTGGCAGAGCCTCACACTCACTCGCGTGGGAGCCGCCCTATGCTCTCGGCACAGCGGTCAGGGGGCCCATCCCCGGGGGGAGCCCACGTGGGCGGCACTGGCTGGTGGGTCTTGTCTCTGCCATGTCATAATGGCTCACGGCCAATGTTGTATTCGTGCCCAGGAGCTTTGAAATCTTACCTCCGAGAGTTGCCAGAACCTCTTATGACCTTTGAACTCTATGACGAGTGGATCCAGGCCTCCAAGTGAGTACCCTTGTTTGGAATGTTTTGTGTGCTGGAGTTTATTTGGAAGCGTGCACTGAAATTAGCAGTATCGAGCAACTCCGTTGCTTGATAATCATCGTGAAGGAGTACTTCTGCATGTGCCCAAGGAGGCGTGGGCAAGGATGGTGACGGGGCATCATTTGGAACCGCAGGAGCCTGGAAGAGGGATGTGGGCAGAGGCTAAATAAGCCACGGTATGTCTGGACCATGTCATCCTCTGGAGCAATTAAAAAAATAGAGCTATGATGTTAACATGAAACATGATGTTAACATGAAAAAATATGGAGATTTATTGTTGAGTGAAATGAAGCGAGTCAACAAGAACACCTATGATATTCTATTGGTGTCTCTATGTGCAAATGCACAAAATAAGATTCTGGAAGGGCTGACATCAGGCCAAATAGCAGTTATTCCTTCTGGAGAGAACCGCAGGACAAAGGAACCGGCCCAGGGTTCTTACCCTTATCTATGACAGTTAAATATATGTTAATAACATCTAAGTAATTATGAATTTAAAAGCACAACATGTGAGCAGGGGCCACTGTGCCCCGCTGCTAAAGAGGTGCCCGAGAGAGAGGCTGCAACTCAGCTTGAGGCCCAGGACTCTAGAGGTGTCGGGGACAAGGACAATGCAGAGCACAGGCGGCCGGCACCAGGCAGGTGGAACCACGGCCCTGCACACGCTGTGGCTCCTACGTGTGGTTTTCAATTTTGATTCCGGCTTCTTTCCTCAGTTTATGCATGCATTAGGACAGTGTTACATGTTCTCTGCAGCCCCAGGTAAGAGCCGCCTTCCGTCGTTGCTGTGGTTTGGAGGAATGCGTTTATACCGAGCAAATGAGCGTGTCTACACCAGGGCAGAGAGTTGGCATCAGAGCAAGGGTGGTGCCAATACGGGTAGAGACAGTCCAAGTGGAAGAGATGAAGGAGGAGGAAAGAAGAATGTTTCATGAGAGCAGGACTGGAGCGAGAAGCTACCATAGCTACGGGCCCGCGAAAGGAAGTGGTTTCTAGAGATCTCCCATCACAGGATTTAGTCGTCACAAGCAGCCGGCGTTGCCTGTAAGAAAGAACCCTGGCGCATGTATCTGAGGCAGGTCCTTCTACTTCTTGGAAAACCGGGGCCCAGAAGAGACCCACCTGTCCCAGAGGTGAAGCCAGGCTCGAGTGTGTAGATTAGGGGAGGCTAGTGCCTATAAAGCTGGATAACACTGTTTTTTTTTCAAAGTAGAATAGAGACCATGCATTTTGAAAGGCTGGCTGCATATATGGCACTCTTGTCTCTCATTGTGAAAAGTGGGTGTTGGGTCCCATGCTGTTAATAATCGTAAGTAGTACCATATAGTAGGTGCTTAGAAACTTGGCATTGCCCTAAGCTCATTGTATGTTTTTAATTCGTTTAATTCTCACAGCCATCCTATGAGCTGGATTGTGCTGTTTCTCCCATTTTCCAGATGAGGAGTTTGAGATACAGAACAGCTGTGTGACCACAGGTTGCTTGCTGGCCAACAAACAGCAGAATGAGAATTTGAGTCCAAGGACTCTGGTTCTGGGGCCCCTGCGCTCAGCGCACTTTGTGCCTCTCTGGAACGAGAACGTGGTCCTGGAGACGAAGTCAAGGGAGGAGCACACAACGTTTGTTGCAAACCCTTGCTGTTATTTACTGAATATGTAGGTGATCCAGATGCTATAAAGCCAGAGAAGGGGAGCATAGCTCGGTGCTTCAGGACCCTCTCACCCCCAGAGACAATGCAGGTCCCACCTCATTTGCAAAGGCAGGTCTGCGTTAGGAAATAAGAGGGATCCGTATGACTCAAAGAGCCCCAGCAAGGAGAAACAGGACTCATTTCTGCTACTGGATGATGTGCTTGTAGTGCCTAAGGTCACATCATCTAAAAAATAATAATTTTGCCTAGAACAGTGGTTTCCAAACCTCTGTGTGCATCAGAACGTTCTGGAAAGCTTTTAAAAGATACACTGCCTGAGCCCTTTTTTTCAGAGATGTGGATTGCGTGGGTCTGGGTTCTGTGCTTCAGAGCTCCAAGGCTGTGGGGTCGATAACCATTAACCTTTGATGAAGCCGAGTTTCACCAGGGGGCAGCACCACCCTTAATGGGGGATTATATTTCAGGCCACCTCAGCCCTGGGGTGGGGCCCCTGGCAGTCAGAGATGGAGCCGGGAGCAGCCGGGGCTGAACTGAGGGATTGCCAGGACAGTGTGAGATGGCCTGAAACTCAAAGGACACATCACTGCAAACCACATAAATTAAGTGCCTCTGTGCTAGGGTCATGCAAAACAGAGGCTCAGAACAGCCCAGAGGCTGAGAGGTCCCTGAAAGAAGATGCAAGAAGTGGGGCTCTCATGCCAGGAGACCCTCCTCAGGGTACTGACGCCTTCACGCTCACTGTCCCCTCGGATGCCACTGTTCCCCAAGACCACTGCCCAGTCAACGCCTTCCAATTATTAGTATTTGGGCCTCACCTAATGTAACCAGCCTCCTCAGAGAGATCCTCCCTGACAAGCTGATGGAAATCAGAGCGCAGTCTTGATCTGTCCCATCTCCTCCGTTAATTCTCGGCATGAAACTGATGCTCCTCGTGGTAGTCTTTGTGTAGCTGATCGGGTTGGGAGCACCGCCGGTTGCTTGCACTTCCCAGCCCTTGAGACAGAGCCCGACACACAGTGGGACCTTGGAAAGGGCCGAGGAGCAGAAAAGGAAGGAAGTATGGTTTGGAGACAAAAGGGAATGGGAGTGTGACAGAGCAGTGACAGCAACCGCAAAAAGCTAACCTTCAACGCTGATTGGGGGCTTTTAGTGGACCAGCCACTCTGCTGAGCACTTTGTCCAGAATCTCTTTTAAACTGCTCATGCCACCAGCTCTGTGAGCGAAGTCTTGATATTAGCTCCAGTGTACAGATGAGGAAGAGTGAGGTTCATAGAGGTTAGATGTTATAATCGGCACAAGATCACAGTTAGGGTGCAGCTGGGTCTTTGCAGCCTCCGCACAAAACCCACCTTGGCCAGCCCTCGGTCAGATTACAGCTGCTTAACAAATAGGATCGGTTTCCTGTCTATTTCCAAGTGGAACATTGGTTTTTCCCTCTAGTTTCCTAGTCAGATTTCCTTTTGGAGATGCCTGCCTCTTTCTCGAGGTTGAACTGAGGGGAGAGGGAGTTTCTGTCAAGGAGGACCTCAGGGTCCTTGGCCACAAGTGATGGTCCTTGTGCTGGGCGTGGGTCCGAGGTCAAGGGGTCAGAGCTGGGGCCCCACCCTGTTAGCGTTTACCATCCAGTCTTTCTAAAGGAAAGGTGTGAGGCTTTCCTAACCATGTAGGCCTTGGTGGAGATTTGTATAAAAATGTAGTCCTATGATAACTTTTTAAAAAAAGATTACAAAAGGGCATGTAAATAAAAAGATAACTTTTGGCTCACGCCTGTAATCCTAGCACTCTGGGAGGCCAAGGCAGGAGGATCCCTCAAGGTCAGGAGTTTAAAACCAGCCTGAGCAAGAGGGAAACCCCCGTCTCTACTAAAAATAGAAAGAAATTAATTGGCCAACTAAAAATATATAGAAAAAATTAGCCGGGCATGGTGGCGCATGCCTGTAGTCCCAGCTACTTGGGAGGCTGAGGCAGGAGGATCACTTGAGCCCAGGAGTTTGAGGTTGCTGTGAGCTAGGCTGACGCCATAGCACTCTAGCCCAGGCAACAGAGTGAGACTCTGACTCAAAAAAAAAGATAACTTTAGAGCAACTCTTTTTATAGAGTAAAGAATCCTTTGGTTAGTGGAAAGGGTCCATTCCCTGAGTTATGTCCTGAAAGGTCAGATTTCCTAATGTCTATATTGAGTTCAGGTAATTTACTTATTCAGAAGGTGCGTATCGAGCCTCTACTACGTGCCAGCTGCCAAGGAGCTGACATGTAGTAAGTGACATCCGTCGGACTGGCCTGCAGCCTGCGCCACTGCGATGTGAGGGCAGCACGGAGCTCCCTGGCTGTGCCCCACGTCCTCCTGACAGCCCGGAGCCCACGTGCCAGAGTGGGCCTCTGCCCTCTGCCCCCACCTGCTGCTCGGCACATGTTCACTTGGGAAATATGTGTGCGGAGGAAGTTTTGTTCCAATAGCAGAGAACAGGACAGAATAGACAACCTACAGAATGAGAGAAAATATTTGCTCTCTACACTTCCAATAAAGGTCTGATAACAAGAATCTATCTAGAACTCAAAAGAATTAACAAGAAAAAAATCAAACAACCCCATCAAGAAACGGGCAATGGAAATGAACAGAAACTTTTCCAAAGAAGACAGAATAATGGCTAGCAAACATATAAAAAAATGCTCAACATCTCTAATCATTAGAGAAATGCAAATCAAAACCACAATGCGATATCACCTTACCCCAGTGAGATTGGCCTGTATCAAAAAATCCCAAAATAACAAATGCTGGTGAGGATGTGGAGAGACAGGAACACTCTTACACTGCTGGTAGGACTGCAAATTAGTGCAACCTTTGTGGAAAAGAATTTGGAGATACCTCAAAGATCTAAAAATAGAAATACCATTCAATCCAGCAATGGCATTATTAGGCATCTACCCAAAAGAGCATAAGACATTCTATTATAAAGACATCTGCACCCGAATGTTTATGGCAGCACAATTCACTATTGCAAGGACATGGAAACAACCCGAGTGCCCGTCAATTCATGAGTGGATTATTAAAATTTGGTATATGTTTACAATGGAATATTACTCAATTCTAAGAAATGACAGTGAGCTAGCACCGCTTATATTATCCTGGATTAAACTTAAGCCCATTATCCAAAGTGAGGTGACACAAGATCAGAAAAATTGGGCTCCACATGTACTCACCATCAAATTGGTACTGACTGATTAACCCTATGGTACTTAAATGGTGGTGGTGCTCACCAGGGATTCGGGGGTTGGGAAGTTAGACCCACATCTGAGGGATGTGGTGAGCATTGTGGAGGGGAAGGGCATACCTCTAACCCTTGCCAGGGAGAGGCAAAGATATAAAATGCAACCAAAATGTTCGTACTTTCATATTTTCTTGAAACAAAATAAAAATGTGGAAAAAAAAGAAAGAAAGAGAGCACAGAGGGGGAATAATAATAACCAGTTTTTTAAATAATCATGTGCTGATGTGGTCAGTTATGACGGTTGGTTCCTTGTTAAATACGATGACTGATTAATATGATTGCCAATGAGACTTCATTGATTCATGTTCAACCAATGGCTTTTCCTATCAATTTCCCAGTATCCAGGAGCAAGATAAGAAGCTTCAGGCTCTATGGAATGCTTGTGAAAAATTGCCTAAGGCCAATCACAACAACATCCGGTAAGTGGGTAGTGAAGACACATGGCTTGGGCTTATGTAACCTCCAGACACAGCTTCCCTCATGGTAAGTAACATGCATGGCACTTTATGGTGCCCAGGGTGGTGTTAACATACGTGGTCTATTTTAAACTGCAAACTACCCTGTGAGATAAGGCAGGGGTAATTATTAGCATTTTGCAGATAAGGAAATGTAAAGTTTTCCAGTGGCAGAAGAAACAGACAGAGAGAAAGAGTGGGGCCAAACAAAGTAGCTTTATTATGCACTCCCAGACAAGGTTCTTGGGTCCCAAAAGAGGGGGGAGCCGAGAAGTCACGTCTGTTTGGAGGGGCTGTGAGCCTTTATGCTGTTTGGGGTGGGCTAGGGACTTTTGGTGGGAAGAGCTGGGGTGACCTTTGGTGGTCATTGAGAGATAGGAGGGGCTGGCAATATTTGGGGAATCCAGAAGCCAAAACTTTCTTATCCGGGTGGATATCTAGGTGTGGTTCTTCTCAGCGGAGTCTGATCTCGTGAGCCTTTTCTTTTTTGATCTCGGGAGGGGAGGGGGCCCACCACCAGCCTTATAGGACACAGACTTAAAGAAGCTCTTTGACTTTGGAGGCCACTAGCCATTAGCTAATTCAGTTAAGTTCTTTGATTTGCAAGGATTCAAAAATCAAAGCAAGCGGTCTTAAGATGTTGGGTATTTATGGTAAAGACCAGAGTCTGTGGACACACGGGAGAAGCTGAACCTGACCCTGCAGGAGCTGGAGGAGCCAGAGGCGCCCTTGAGGGAGTCTGCAGGAAGGAGAGGAGAGGGAGAATGTTCTTCAGTGCTCTGCACGCACGAGCCCCTAGATGCGTTCCACACGTCTGCCTCTCACACTTCCTGCTGCCACCCAAGATTTTACTTCCCGCTGTGCTGCGGGTCTTCCCCTACGCCTGGCTCCTGCTGTTTCACACTCTGCTGCTTTGTCACTCTGTCTCGCCGCCAGCGCCCTCCTGCCCCTGCCACCTTCCCTCCCTGCTTCTTAGCGTGTAGGGTTTCAGCGTCAGCACCTGCTGCCATCTGCCTGATTATTTGTTTTCCTGTTAAAAATCTCAAGAGCGACAGAGTGGTAGTTCCTCAAAAGATGAAACCTGCCATTCACATATGATCCAGCAATTCCATTTCTGGGTGTGTGCCCAAAGAACTGAAAGCTCGGGCTTGATATCTGCACACCTGTGTTCGTAGCAGCGTTATTCGCTGTGGGCAAAAAGGGGGAAACCCGGATGGCCGTGGGCAGATAAATGGGTGACCAGAATGTGGTGTGTTCGCACAGTGGGATACGAAATGCCAAGTCTCGCCACGGCGTGGACGTGGATGAACCTTGAGGGCACGGTGCTACGTGAAAGAAGCCAGACATACTAGGACTAGTACTGCAGGATTCCACTTACACAAAGTGCCTAGAGTGGTCGGACTCAGAGAAAATCCGAGGGTCGTGGCCAGGGAAAGGGAACAGGGAGGTTGTTGTTTAATGAGGACAGAATTTAGTTGGGAAAGATGGAAATGTTCTGGAGAGATGGATGGTGGGGATGGTTTCATAACAGTGTAAATGTACTTCATGCCATGGACTTGTACACCTGGAAATGGTTAAAAGAGTAAACTTTGTGTATATGTCATCGCAATTAAAAAAAAAATCCCAAGAGTGAGAATCGGGCCAGCACAGCTCACGGTGTGTCACTGGCACCAGCCAGAGGGTCGACTGCTATCGGCGTGGTCCCCGAGTCCTGGTCGCGTCCTGTGTGGCCCCCTGGAGGCTGAGGCATGGTCGGGAGAGGCTGTGGGCGGGGTTGTCAAAGTGACAGCTTAGTGACTACACGGTAGGGCCCTGGGTCAGCTGCACCTTCTACAGGGCGGACGGAAGGTGAACACTACCCCCCACCCCCGCCGCCCCTGGGGGAGCCACACTTCACTGTGAGCTGAGCACGTGGGGTGAGGGCCGCAGCCTTTTGTAACAGAGTCCAGGAGAAAACGTGTGCCCCTGGGGTGGTCCTGGGACCTCTTGTCAGGCCTGGCAGGTTTTCAGTGTGTTTTGCCAGAGCTACTTTTTGTGCTTAATTCGTGCATAGCTTCTTTATTGGTTCTTTTTTTAAAAAAAATAATTTTATCGAGCTGTGATTCATATACCATTGTATCTTTTTAAAGTATATAGCTTAGTGTTTTTTTAATGTATTCGTAGAGTTGTGCAACCATCACTACTATCTAACTTTAAGCATTTTCATCACCCCAAAAAGCAGCTCTGTTCCCATTAGCGGTCACTCACCATTTCCCCCAATCCTGCCCCTCGCAACCACTAATTCACTTTCTGGCTCTGTACTTTTGCCCATTGTAGACATTTCGTATAGATGAAATAATATAATATGTGGTCTTTTGTGTCTGACTTGTTTCATTTAGCGTAATGTTTTCAAGGGTCATGTATGCTGCAGGCTGTGCCCATATTCCTTTTTCTGGCTGAACAGTGTCACACTGTGTGGACATCCCACGCTTTATCTGTTCATCTCTTAATGAGTATTTGGGTGGTTTCCGTTTTTTGGGCTGTTGTGAATAATGCTGCTGTGAACAATCTGCGTTCAAGTTTGTGTGTGGACGTGTTTCTCTCTTGGGTATATTTGGAGGAGTGGGATTGCTGGATCATACGCTAAGACTACGTTTTAACTTTTTCTTCGTTGGATCTTTCCAGAAAGCCCAACTAAGGGTAATTCCAGGGGACACCACCTCTAGCATGTCCCTGCCAGTGACAGCTCGACACTTTATCACTTCTGCACACAGGCAGGGTAGCAGGTCATGGTCATTCCATACTGAGTCAAAAGGAAAGCCGGGGACAGGGTGACCCGTGTTAGTTGAAGCAGTTACTGACATCTAACCAAGTAAGGTCTGAGTCCATCTGTTTTTGGAAAGAGAATACAGAATTCCCATTTCCCGCCACGTGATGTATTTTCATCACATTGCGGGTCGTGTGAGTCTCGTCCATAAGATGTGTGACAGGAGAGAAGTTTCTGCCCAGTCCTGGGTGCACAGGGCTGGTGCCAAGCCCTGGTTAAACCTGGCCCTTCTGGTTTCTTTTCAGATACTTGATCAAATTTTTATCCAAGCTGTCAGAATATCAAGATGTAAACAAGATGACTCCCAGTAACATGGCAATTGTTTTAGGACCCAACCTCCTGTGGCCACAAGCAGAAGGGTGAGTTCAGGGCGGGGAGGCCGTGTGGGTGGCGCAGGTGGGCTGCAGGGCCTGCCCTGTTTCTGTCAGGACCTGCTTTTTCTTTTAGGCTGGGGAGGAGGGATAGAATTCTGTAGGTCTTTTTTTTTTTTGGTTGATGGTCTCAGAGCTACAGGTCTGTACTGAGGGCCTTCTCTGAGCTAACGTAAGTCACCATCAGGAAGGGGAGAAGACGGGAAGGGACACGAGGCACAGGCAAGGCAAGCTCTTTCAGGCCCCCTGGACACTCTGACATCCCAGCGTCAGGATTCAGCGGGATAGAGGACCGTCTCCAGGGACAGAGGACGACCTGGCAGCGATGAGAATGAAGGCATGTTGAAAATGCCTTCATGGACCTTGCCCGTGTGCCCCGGGGTTGTCCCCGTTCCGTAGATGGGGAAAGAGAAGCTCAGAAAGATGAAGTGTGAAGTGCCCTTCTCAAACCTCGGTCTGCAGGGCTCCAGTCTAGGGCCCTTCCCAGGCCCTGTGGCCAGAGGACCGGGCCTCTCCTGCCGCCTTGGCGGTAACCCGCCCATCCTCACTCTGTGCTTGCAGGAACATCACGGAGATGATGACCACGGTCTCCCTGCAGATTGTCGGGATCATCGAACCCATCATCCAGCACGCGGACTGGTTCTTCCCCGGGGGTACGTGGTGGCATCGGGGGTGGGGGCAAGAGGCAGGGAGCAGGACGATCACTGTGAGTTCTGAGCTTTTGAGACCAAGTGCCTTCAGCCACAGGTGTTTGTTTGTTTGTTTGTTTTTTGGAGACTGTGTCTTGCTGTATTGCTCAGGCTGGAGTGCAGTGGCTTCATCGTTGCTCACTACAACCTCAGACTCCTGGGCTCAAGTGATCCTCTTGCCTCAGACTCCCAAAGTTCGAGGATTACAGGCCTCAGCCACCTCAAACTCCCTGTTTGTTTTGATTTTAATCCTCCTACACACACGTGTGCACACACACACACACCAGGTACCAGGGTAGAGCCATGGCTGCTTCCTACTCTCCAATCCCTGTTTCAAGGGAAGCTGTGGCCTGAAGGTGTCCACTGTCGGTACTAACCATGTCTGTGGACTCTCCTGGTCTAACATCCACACCACGATTTCTTCAAATCTACGAATCGTGGGATGCTGGTACAGGAAGGACAGAGAGGTTCTCTCTCTGCTCCAAACCCTTCACTTTATAGATGCATCAGGCACCTGAGGCCTGAGATGGGTGGGGACTTTCATTCAGGGCTTATGATCACCTGGGTGCCCTGCGCTTTCCTTTTGCTACCCTAAGCTGTGCCCTTGGAGTTGCCCCTCAGCATGTCATGGTGGGGCTCAAAGGCAATGGGGCTCTTTTCCATACCTGCCTCGAAGTTGAGCTCTCAAGGCAAATCCCCCGCCTAAGCAGAGGATTCAGAGATGGTCTCAGCTATGGAAGCCCATTCCCTGATGACTTTCAAGGGTGACAGCTTTGAAGAGACAGCAGTAGCTACACTAAATTCGGTATCTGCTTTAAAGAAAAAAAAAAAAAGAAAGAAAGAAAGTGGCACTGTACCTCATGTTTCGCAAATATTAAGGGAGTGCTATTGGCTGTGTGATAGCAGCCGTTAATTAATGTGAGGATGAAACGTTGCAGTTCTGCGCTGTATCCATTAGAGGCAATCAGTTAATGCCGATCTGCCACGGAAGAAGTTTGATTGTCTTTCTTTTGCTTCGTGTGTTTTGACTGTGAGAGTGCTGAACTGCTGATTTCGTACGAGTTCTGTTGGTGACACAACGTTGGGTGGATGTAGGAAGTCGAGATAAAGAAGTGAAGTAGCAGGAGTTGAAGGCAGTGATTCCGTGGGTCCTAACTCATTACCACTGCAGACAGGGACCGTGCGGAGCTCGGTCACTCCCGCTCACCAGGCAAGGATGGGACGAGTCCGTCTGGGCATCACTTTGATAGCCAACGAACAACCTTCACGAAATCTCGTACTATTGCTAACCTTTTTCATTTATTTTCTTTGGTTTTCCAGAAGGACATTATCATCATCCACAAATATTAACATTGCCTCTTATTTTATTTTCTTGACTAATTTCATTGGCCAGCATTTCTCAAATAGTGTTGAATAACAGTGACGATAGTGGGCATTGCCATTTTTTTCTGATTTGATTAGGACTGCCCCAAGGTTTCACCCTTAAGCATGAGGTTTGAGAAAGATGATTCTGTCTGTTTCAGAAGGTATCCATCTGTTAGTGTTTTACTCTCTCTATATTTTTTAAATCACAAATGGACATCACTTTATTAAATGCCTGTCTAGGTGATCACATTTGTTCTCTTCTTTGGCCTACTCATATGATTAATTATATTAGTAAGATGAATTAATAGCAATAGATTACCTAAGGTGGCACTAAGGGATGACATTTTTCCAGGGGTAAAGCGTGAAGGAAGTGTCTCTCCTCATTCCTCTCCTGCCCAGGAAGGGTGCGACAGGCCAAGAGTTGACGTATACCAATTCTTTCTTCCCTGCAGAGATAGAGTTCAACATTACAGGCAATTATGGGAGTCCAGTGCACGTGAACCATAACGCCAACTACAGCTCAATGCCTTCCCCAGACATGGACCCCGCTGACCGGCGCCAGCCCGAGCAGGCCCGCCGGCCCCTCAGCGTCGCCACGGATAATATGATGCTGGAGTTTTACAAAAAGGATGGGTATGAACTGGTGTCCCTTTCTCAGCATTGGGGATTGGGGGAGTGGTGGGAGGTAGAGGTGAGACCTAAGAAAAACAGAATTACAAGAAGGCTACACTTACCCTCGGCAGTTTAGGTGACTTGTAGCAATTAAACTGTCACCTCATCCTCAATGCTTTCACCTGCACTCTGTGGTGAATTTCTCTGGCTGGCTTCCCTTTGGGCCAGAGGTAAGTGCAGCCTTCTTAGCTGACACAATTGTGATCAGTATTAATTAGTTCTCATCAAAAGAAAGAAAAGTTGGTCAACAAGGGGAATTAAAAAGAAATACATAGGCACTCTATACTCAAAATGTATACATGTATGCCAGTTCTTGAATTTTTAGTGGCTTTACTTTGATTATAGATCTGCTCATTTGCATTCTGCGGAAGGCATCCTTGCACAAACACCTTTGATTGCAGAGTTTAACATCCCCAGGTTCAGCATCTTTAAAATAGAGAAAACTTGAAGCAGTCCCAGCGTAAAATCGTTGTAGGTTTTTAAGATGTTTTCCTATCTTTTATTGTTAACACCTATACTTACTTTGATGCAGCTGAGCGACTCATAAATGCATTCAACTTAGTTTGCACAGAAACAACTATCTCCATATTCATATTAAATCAGTTTTCATACTATTTAACTACATCAGATGGTCCCCATAATAAGTAAAATGGGCATAAACAGGTTCATACCAAGCACAGCTGACTCGTGGTGGGCACTCACTCAGCTGTGGCCGCCAGAGGACGTGGAGTGGTGGCGTGTCCGGGGGGCTGCAGGCATCAGGGACTATGCCTTACAGAAGGCGTGGGCTGCTTCCGTTCGCCAGCCAAGCCAGTTAAGTAAACTTTGGTTAGGATTTAAAACTCACTACCGTGAAACGGAATTTAGCAACTGCTCCTTCAGAATAGCTGGGAATGTAAAGCCCTGAGTGGGAGTATCCGAAATGCAGGCAACAGGCAGTAAAGCAGCCACCACCTTCCCTGTCCCGCAGACCACTGGGCAGCCAGAAAGCTCCGTCTGAAAGGGGAACGGCCTGAAGGGCTCAGGAGGGAGGGGTGCAAATCCGAGAGCTGTTGAGGCACGAGTGTACTCTTCACCCTTCTTCTCTCTGGGTGGAGCTGGCATTGGAGACCTAGGCCTGTTTCCTGGGATTGTCTTCAGAATGCCAGTGTCCCTTCCTGCGTTAGCTTACCATGGGGGGGGATCCGCGTGTGCGGCAGGTGGAGGTTGGTTGTGTGCACTGTGCGAGTGTTTGTTGTTTCCTACGTAGCGGGGAAAGAAGAAATGGAAATTCTTAGAAATTCAAGTGAGTAAAAGGAACTCAGAATCAGAGCGACAGAGACAACTAGTGAGTGTATTGGAATCTGTTTTTAAATCTCGTTCTGGGTAACTCAGTTCCTTTGTGAAATCTCTGTAAGTTGAGGGGGTGTCTGAGGGTAAATTCTGGTCCTAGCTAGGTGACGGAGAACACCTGATGTTCGGTCCCAGGTGTTTCTGCATCAAAAGTGTGCTTTTTGGCCGGGCGCGGTGGCTCACACCTGTAATCCTAGCGCTCTGGGAGGCCGAGGCAGGCGGATTGCTCAAGGTCAGGAGTTCGAAACCAGCCTGAGCAAGAGTGAGACCCCCATCTCTACTAAAAATACAAAGAAATTAATTGACCGACTAAAAATATATATGCAAAAAATGAGCTGGGCATGGTGGCGCATGCCTGTAGTCCCAGCTACTCGGGAGGGTGAAGCAGGAGGATTGCTTGAGCCCAGGAGTTTGAGGTTGCTGTGAGCTAGGCTGACACCACGGCACTCACTCTAGCCTGGGCAACAAAGTGAGACTCTGTCTCAAAAAAAAAAAAAAAAGTGTGCTCCTCCCGCCTCCCTGCCACACCTGGTCATTCCCAGTGTCCCCCATGAAGCAACCCAGGTGGTCTCAGCCGGAGTTATCCCTGCAGAAGCACTGAGCACTCATAGACTGCTGCTGGCCGCTCCGCTATCGGTAGGCCGACGCAGAAGCTTGAACGATGACATTTTAAGCAGATGCCTCACCTCTGATAAAGTCCCCTTACTTAATAATTTTGCAAACGACATGCCCATTCTGCGTGCTACTCTGATGTAAAATTGAAACTACCACCATCTACTTTAAGAGTGCAGGAGATACACTGCACAAGTTATTGTTGCACATAAAATGAAATGCATGGTATGTATTTTTAAAGTTGTGTTAAATATTAAATTCAATGGAAGTCTTACCAGTTTGGGGTAACCTTGAGTTGTTTGGGGTATGTGGCATCTGTATGTATGTTTTAAGGTACAGCAAGTTTGTAGAAGATAAGTTCTTTTTTTTTTTTTTTTTTTGAGACAGAGTCTCACTTTGTTGCCCCTCAAACTCCTGGGCTCAAGCAATCCTCCTGCCTCAGCCTCCGAGTAGCTGGGACTACAGGCATGCACCACCATGCCCGGCTAATTTTTTCTTTATATATTAGTTGGCCAATTAATTTCTTTCTATTTATAGTAGAGACGGGGTCTCGCTCTTGCTCAGGCTGGTTTCGAACTCCTGACCTCCAGCTATCTACCCGCCTCAGCCTCCCAGAGTGCTAGGATTACAGGCGTGCGCCACCGCGCCCGGCCTAGAAGATCAGTTCTTAATAGGCTGTAAGAGAGAAACCTAAAGTTGCAATTGTGGGGAGAGGAAAGGAATTTACATTCACTGAGTCCCTATGTTATCTTAGCAACATTAGGGCAATTCCTTACATTTGTTCCCATTTCTGACCTTTTAAAATATATGAGATGCATTTTAAAGACTTCAAACTGCTCATTGAAACACTAACAAGTTAAAGCTCATTGAAGTTTCTTGACTAGGTTAAAAAGAAAATATGAATTATATATCAGTAAAGCTGTTACTTAAAGAAGAAGAAGAAAGTCTGGGGCAGAAAAACTGAATACAATTTGAAAAAAGTGCTAAGTTCCCCGTCTGTGTCAGTGACATTTTCCTGGGCTGGTGGCTGTGATGTCTTAGACATCACCCAAAGTAGTTTACTCCACTCGTGACCCTGGGCTTTGGTCCTGATGCCTTTCCGGTTCGCGATGACACAGGAGGCTGAGTTTATTTAGTGAGTCCTGGGTCAGATTCAGGAACTTTAATATTGAATAAACATTAATCTTTGTGGTAAGCAGAATAATGCCCCCCACAAGATAAAAAGATACCAGGTCTGAAACCCTGAAACCTGTACATAATACCTTATTTGGAAAAATGGACTTTGAATGTGTGATTAAAATAAGGATCTTGAAATAAAGAGATTATTCTGGATTACTGGGGTGAGCCCTACATGACGTCATATGCATCCTTATAAGAAGGAGGCAGAGAGAGGTTTTACTGCACACAGAGGAGGAGCGGTGAAGATGTGGCCACAAGCCAAAGGACGTCCACGGCCACCAGCAGCTAGAAGAGGAGAGGAATGGGTTCTACGCTGGGGCTTCTGGAGCGGCACAGCCCTGCCGGCGCCTTAATTTCAGCCCAGTGATACTGATTGCAGACTCCTGGCCTCTAGAACTGTGAAGGAATGAATTTCTGTTGTTTACAAACATTGTGGGTCGGGCACGGTGGCTCACGCCTGTAATCCTAGCACTCTGGGAGGCCGAGGCGTACGGATGGCTCGAGGTCAGGAGTTTGAAACCAGCCTGAGCAAGAGCGAGATCCCTGTCTCTGCTATAAATAGAAAGAAATTAATTGGCCAACTAATATACATAGAAAAAATTAGCCGGGCAGGGTGGCGCATGCCTGTGGTCCCAGCTACTCGGGAAGGTGAGGCAGCAGGATCACTTGAGCCCAGGAGTTTGAGGTTGCTGTGAGCTAGGCTGACGCCACGGCACTCACTGTAGCCTGGGCAACAAAGCGAGACTCTGTCTCAGAAAAAAAGAAAACAAACAACATTGTGGTACTTGTTACAGCCACAGGAAGCCAACACAACCATCCACTCCAAGAGCTTGGCGGAGACGATGGCAGCAGACACCCAGGTTGTCCTGCCACTGGGTGTTGGGATCTGACTGCCCTCCCTCCCACTGAGCGTGGCCCGAGTGATTGGCCTGGCTGGTCGGTGGGATGTGGTGGAAGTGATGTTCTGGGACTTGTGAGGCAGGTCAGAAGAAGCCTTGTAGATTCTTCCTGGGTCTCTGGGGGCACTCACTCTTGGAACCCAGCCACCATGCTGCATGGTGGTCCACACAGCCCCTTGGGGAGAAAATGAGCCCCACCCCTACCCCAGTCCCCACCCCTGCAGAACACCGAGCTGACAACCAGCACAACCTCCCAGCTCTGCAAGTGAGTCGTCTTGGTGGCATCAGCCCAGGTCAGACCACCTTAGCCAATGCTGTGTGGTGCGGACAAGCCATCTTGTCAAGCCTACCAACACTGTGGAGATTCGTGCTAAGTTTTGGGGTAGTTTGTTACATAACAAAGAGAGAACAAGCTTTTAAAAAAAATACTGATGTTCTGCACCCCCGCCTCCCAAATCCTCTTGTCTGATTTAATTATCCTGGCCCAGGATTGGGATGTCTTACCAGCACTCCAAGTGACCCTAATGTGCACCTAGGGTTGACTACCACTGAATAATAAAGAATTTGGCAATGGTATAATTTTTTTAACTTATAAAAAGTTGCCTACTGGCTCGATGTGGTGGCTCAGGGCTGTAATCCTAGCTCTCTGGGAGGCCAAGGCAGGAGGATCACTTGAGGCCAAGAGTACAAGACCAGCCTGAGTATGAATGAGACCTCCGTCTTTACAAAAATTAGAAAAATTAGCTGGGCATGGTGGTGCATGCCTGTAGTCCCAGCTACTTAGGAGGCTGAGGCAGGAGGATCACTTCAGCCCAGGAGTTTGAGGTTGCTGTGAGCTATGATGATACCACTGCACTCTAGCCCATGTGATAGAGTGAGACCATCTCTCAGAAACAGACAAACAAACCAAACTTTCCTACATTAGCCAGCATGATATAA